CCACTTCCTACCCAAACAACATCGCCTGCTTTTTGTGTGAATCGATGTACCGGGATATTTGCTTCCAACAGCTCATCAATATCTGGCCACCATGAACCTTTCAGAAAATTTAATTTCCGCCTGGAATTTCGCAAATATTTTTGAAATACTAAGATAACTTACCGTAAAAAAAATCCAGATTCAGGCAATTCTTCGCGTTGTTGAGAACAGAAACGGACTAAACAGAATCAAGAATCGGCTGGCTACCCAAGCCGTGCTTCTCCAAAGATTTTGAGAAGACACTGCACCACGCCCTATCCCGCTAAGTTTAGATGGTACGATAATGCAGTAAATACCGCGCAAAAACGAAAGTAAACGCTACATAGAGCAGCACTATGGGGCCAGCATGAATGAAGAAAAATATAAAAAATGGAACCCAGCACTCTGCATCTTCTTCGACTCGGACTGCTATAATATGCCTGATATGAAGTTTACCGAAACTACACGAACAGCAACTGGAAAGACTGGACATCACTGATGTTATTATCTGCCCAGTTAGTCAAAGCAAACTGCAATAGCTGAGTTTAAAGTCTTTAGCTTGCACGTGCGTAGAGAATATCCCTGCAAAGTTTCAGCTTTCTACCGTGTCTGATTCGCGAAATCATTTTCCGCCAAAGAAATTTGCATATTTTTTTGGGGGGCCTGTACGCGGGGTTTAGACGGCTGTTCCAGGTACTGCTGAGTTCTGCCTGTTTCCTAAGCTGCGAAATTTTTCACTAAAAATTTTACGTAGCGATACGTGAAAGCTGAATTTGAACCCTTGGACAATGAATATCCCTCCAAAATTTCAGCCTCCTAATTTTCTGGCTTTCAAGTGATTTTTGGCACCAAAACAACTATACCTTCATGGGTTGCAATGCATATATAATGGGGTGGCAGTGCCAATCTAAAATTGAAACGAATGTGAACAGATCGTAGAGGGATTGGATGGCGCTGTCGAACTCTCGATCTAATGCATGACAACAGTGCTCTACTTCCCACCGTGTTCTGCCTGCCCATTATAACTGTTACTAACCAGAGGGATTTAGAAACTGCCAAATTCTGAAGGATCCAGATACAAAATATCGTACCTTACGAGCATTTCGTTGATTACGGACCAATATTCACCCGGAACACCGAACCATTCACAATCACCCGGACCAATGTTGATATTGACCGATGCAAGACAATTATTTTCCACATGCCCCGGAGTGCGAGAGCCAGGAACCTGTAATCAGTGGAGGGGTTGAAAATTTTTCAAAGTAAACGTATTATTATTACTCGTGGGTACAGAGAGGTCAAATTTAAATTTGCGGGGTCACACGTGAGCGGGGGAACAATCCACTAGCTTCCCAACTTTTGTGGTTCCTGAGTTGAAAGTTGCGGACAAACACAAATATATATACAGACAATCCAATAGCAATATGCGTTTTGGGTAGCTGTTGCACAGCATAAAATGCATAAAAAACAAACCTTCATGTACAGTTGAACGGTATTCATGCCATATACAGTGTGTCCGAGATGTGTGAGCATATTGCATGCAGCTACAAGTCTTGCAAATGATGGCATTTTATTCAGTTCTACCAATTGTGCCCTAAAAATCATCGATATCACTGTATAGAACTATTACAAAATTGCTCCCTCTGTTTGGTCCCATGGTTTGTCGTGTCACTGCTAATTTCTTCTTAGCAAACCATAATATTCCACGTTTCGCATCCTATCACAAACGATCAAACAATCGAACTTTGATCGCTCATAGAGATGATGTTAAGATGAAGTCGAAGTCAATGTCGCGCCTCTCCAGGAACCTGTCCTGCGCTACTGGAGAAGCGGTTGGCTCTAAAAGTTGGGGATTCTATGAGAATTGGTGTCGACTGACTACCAGACAAGGCTGGCTCTCAACATATTCCCTGCAAACATCAATCCGGGACGACTGCGTTCGGGTCATTCCTGGCTCCTACAATCTTGCATCTGAGCCTGACTGTTCCAGTCCAGCCTCCTGCATTAGACATTCGCGGAAATCTGGCTCTGGGCTTTCTCGTTTTTCTCACAGGCCGTACTGACTGACCAGCGTACCTCTGCCGAGCTGAACCAGCACCCTCCAGAGAAGAGAGATTTTTTTCCCCGACAGATTTTCGGAGTTTCCCCGATAGATTTTCGGTGCAGGTAAGACCGTCGATGGCTCCTTCACTCCAGGATTACCCGACAAGCAAGCTGATTGCCGAAAGAGCTACATTACGAGCTAATAATAAAATTTCGTACATTTTAAGCTACGGCTACGTTAGCTGCATCGTGTAAAATGTCTTCTTACACATGAAACTTAGTCCAATACCTCTATTCTACTATTTCAATGAATTCCTTAAAACTTCTTTCAGCAAATATCATGAAAATATGGATACACGAAAAGCATACTTGAACTTAATATCATCCGATAGATCAACATTTGTTCCAAATTTGATCAGTTTCATTGGCATCTGAGATTCCTCGAAACCAGAGGCTCGCCGACGTTTTGACGATCCATTTGCAATATCCGTTGAATTAACACCACCACCTCCACCATATTTCGCACTTGCCGCACGAAGTTTTTCTGCTTCCTCCTGAAATGCATGTCAAAAAAAGTTATCCATTTGCAGCTCAGGATTGAAGGGCCTGGGATAGCTATGCCAAGCGTAAGAATGTATCGCAGTTACAAAATTAGAATAAGGTCTCCACGTTGAATGTCCAAGTGGTACTAGTTTCCTGGCCCGGTGGTCCTGGTAGTCATTTTTATGCGTTTTTAGCACCTATGCAATGCAAAAACGCATACTGTCGAGGGGTTTCTAGTGTGTGCGTGTGTGTGTGTGTGTGTGTGTGTGTGTGTGTGCCTGTATGCACGTCTGTACCGATTCTTCATCTCAAAGCCCACAAAACAAACAAGGCTGAAATTCTGGGAACTTAATCTATATAATAATCCCCAAAATGAACATCCTGCCCACGTGGGCCCCACGTATCGTGGAAGTTTTTGTGGATAAGTTGCTAACTCGAGAGCCAGAGGAGCCAGAAAGTTAAAATTTTAAGCGGATGTTTTCTGTCTACGCACAATCAAACGACTTCAAGCTAGCCTCAGGTGCGCAAAGTTCTGCCCGTGAAAATTTTTAATGGGAAAGTTGTTAATTTGGGAACTAAAAAAGTCAAAAAACTGAAAAATTTTCAAGGGAATATTTTCACAGTCGTGGCGGCCAGTCTCAATTCTGTTAGCTAGGAAGCATCTGCCGGAAAAAACAGTGCCGTCAGCAACAAAAACCTTATTAGTAGTATTCAAAACAACAAATTAAGCCAAAAATAAAAGTCAAAGCCTTTCCGTGTTTGCTTTTCATAAGACTTGGAGGCAATCGAAAATATTTTGAGGGTGAAAGGTGCCAGCAACAACCATACAGTAGTAAGGCTATCGATAGTTTCTTCACAGAAAAGAAAAACGACGATTTAAACTGTACCTTCAGACAATACTGGAAAGACTGTGCTTGATATTGCGCATAATGAGCGATATTTGTAAATGAACGTGTGCTATGGCATTCCCATGTCGGTTGTCCAAGATGATCCACATTTTGATCACTGGGCATCAGATACTGCGATCGTATTTCTACCTGAAAATCTGGAATTTACAGGAAAAGAAGACCACCCATTGCTTTTTTTCTTTACTTTCTCTAACAAAATTTAAGTCATAAGCTTGCTTTCCCTTCAAAATATACGTATCGGTAATTAAAATATACACAGACTGTTTCACAAACAACACATGAAATGTGAGAATTTACATTTCACAATGGTGAAAAATTATTAAATTTAAGAGTTTAAAATGCCCTTTTTCGCCGAACTCCTTACGAAAAGCAAGCTCCTAGTTGGGAAATACTTGCCCTTGTTACAACAATAAAACATTCGAGGTCAGATGGTGATGCTCAACAAACACCGAGAGTAAAGGGGAACCTAAATTCCCACTTTTTTCACTGTACAAGTTTTATAAATACATTTTAAAATAAAATATTTTATTCAATAAATACCCAAAAAGAAGGGGGAAATTAGGTTCTCCTTTACTTAAGGATATCTCAAAACCGCTAAAACATTGGCAAACTGCCGGGAGAATCGCTGAGTTGGTAATCTCTTCAGAGATGAAACGAACGTTAGGATCATCAGTACACTGATCATTAGGTACTGCTCCACTGAACAAATTACAGGGAAAATTTGCTAGATGCATATCTAGGAAACTCATAAATTGGCATCTATCCCAAATATCCAAGTATGAAAAGCGGATATAGCGGGAAATATCCTCGCACTGTAATGCTTCTATAATAACCAAAAACCCGGTACCAGAGATGTCAGTGCTAGTCTCTTTCGTAAGTTACTTGGAGGCAGCTAAGGAGGTTCCTCCCCTCCGCTCCTCCCCTCCTCCCTCCTCCTC